CCCCACACTGAGCTACACGTCGACGAGCTATGCATCATTGACTTGTGCGCATGGCAGGTTGTAGCGATGTGTCAGCAAAACCCCAGCGCATTCGTGTCAAATTCTAGGCTTGATTGTTGTCGATTTTAAAGCACAGCTAATTCCATTTTTGATAATGTTTTGGTCGCCCTTGAACTCAGTACTTATAATATTCCTGGCTCAAGACTTCTGTTCTAGTGCTAGTGGTGGGATGCTTGGGCTCTTGGGATACAACAATCTCTCATCCTCAGAGCCTTGGAGATTAGGTAAATTCAACCACTCTCTGGTATCAGACGCCATCTCCCCCGTTCTGGCCTTAGATACTGTCGAGGACAAGGCTGACTTCTTCTCCCAAACCTTTGAAAGTCACATCGTCTCTCATGCTTATGTGTATCATTTCTACTATCCCAGCTGCAAGGCTGAGGGGCAAGGGTTGGCAGCAAACCACGCACATTAGCAATTGGCGGAATGTTTTGCCATTTTAAAAGAATTTCTGGAACTGTTACTTAGAAGTGTAGAGTATCTGGTACACGGGCACTGCACGCGCTCGATTTACATTAATTTTTCGTTCGGAAGGTGGACTAAGCCTAGCTTGGTTTCACCCCTTCCAGTGGTTGTCCCATATGTATCCCCTTGGGGGAAAAATCAAACATCCAACGATAATACATAATTATATACATCTATATTATGTGTGTATAGGTCGGTGTGTTCGATAGCTAACTAGGCAGCGCACACCAGGTTCCGCAGTGTGCGTAGTTCACGCCACGTTAACAGTATACAATAGTAGCTTGTGTTGTGTGTTGACATCACTATAATGTAAGAACCCTCACCTGGCTATTATTAACATTCTACTGGTTTGCAGCCACACGGGACTTGATGCGCTGTAATAAACCCTCGGCGCGCATGCACAGCGAGGGTTACAGTAGTCAGTCTGTCTGTCTGTCTGCGCGAGTTCTAGCACTACAGGCTACGAGGCGGCCAATGAGTGGCACCAACGGGTTGTGAACGACGAGGAGATGGATATTAATGTGGCGATTTTCCTGAAACGACTGCGTTCGATAGCGACAAACTGGTACGGTCGCTGACCGCGTTGCGTGGCCCAATACCCATCAATAAGCTGTGCGCATGCGTATACTGGACGAACGCGGTATGCTGGCTCACATCGACCTGATCCGCTTGCTCTGTTTACCTTGGAGGCACAAGAAGCCACAGCGAAGGGCGTTTGTCGACTCCGGCTTGCTATCTACTACCGTAGCTAACCCGTGTCAGACTCTCCGCGAGCTACTATATGGCGGGAGGCCGCGGGTAAACGCATACTAATAGGCCCAGCCCATCCATTAAGGGTACCGCAGACGCGCAGTTCGCCGAGGGTTTGCACTTTAATTAAACACATTTTGAAGTATATACATCAAGACTGACTTTGGCATATTTAGATTTTCTACGCTGGGCAACACTCTTTCTATACATTATACTGTGGTAATACATACACACATATCCATGGGTCACTTTGGATCTCTGAGTGAAATGCGTTTTCAACAGACAAACCTCGCTTTTGCCTAATTTTTTAATCCTACGTGAACTTTTGTCCGGTGTTTCTACTGCCCTCACATTTGCTTAGCTAAAACATTGAGTTCATCCTCTCTCAGTACAGTAAGAGTGGCCCAGTGGCGCTTTCTTTATGAAGTCTTTCACGTTCCTGCCTATGCAACGTCTGCTCAATTGCTTCAGACGCTTTTGTGGTTTCTTTACGCAGTCTATTACTTCTTCGCCGGGGTGAAATTTGGGTGAAGTTTGATCGTATGTTTCAGCTGCCCTTGTGCTTTGTTTACGTAGCTATATAGCCTGTTACGCTCTGTTCTCGCAAATTTCTCTTGTTCAGTCTCTAAAGTTCTTCGACATTTCATCGCTTCCTTTTTGGCCATACACCGCGCTCTCCTTTTTGACGGAAACCGCCCGTCTAGCATGTATATACTGTGGTGTCACACTGCGGACATACCTTCTTCTTGCTCTCCATCGGTCAGCCCCCTCTGCATACAACGCGCGCAATGCACGAGTGCTGATTGTCAGCTCAAAAAAGTATTTGCTCCAGAAACGACCAGAAAATTTGCTCGAGCTCTGCCCTCACAAAAATGAAATCCTGGTCGCTCAACGGTGCTACTTATGGCGTGATCATTATGCGCAACCCGCCAGTGCAACACACGCATGCGTTTATTTTTCTCGCTTCCTATAATACACTGAGGTTGGTGCGGTCTGGATACCGCTCAGCTACACTCAGCGTTTAGATTTGAGCTATATATTAGGGTTCGCTGCACTCGACACTCGTCTGCTTCCGTAGATACATATAAAACAGCAAAAAAATCCGGTGGAGGTAAGCAGCATATTGGGTTGTTAACTTGGTTTTCACGCCATAACTGTCTAACGCTTTGCTTTTACAATGAAAGGCATTAAAGTGCAAACCTTCGGCGAACAGCGCAAGCGCGATACTGCTAATTGATGGGCTGGCTATTTATATGCGTTTAATCGTGGTCTCCCGCTAGTAGCTCGATGAGAGTCTGACACGGGCTAGTTACAGCAGTAGATAGCATGCGGGAGTCGATTCGTTGTGACTTCCTGAGCCCCCAAGGTACACAGGAGCGAGCGGATGAGGTCGCGGTAAGCCCACGCAATTGGCTTTTTCGCTTGTTTTCACGGCATATTATCTCTCGAACGCAGAAAATCGCCCCTTTTATTGTTCAGGCTCGCGTAGACCTATACCCGACGCTGAATAAACACACACACGACGTAACCCTCGCTGCGCATGCGCGCCGAGGGTTAATTACGGGAGACTGTCATATTTTTGTTTACGACGAGACCTTATTGTTTGAATGTATGTGTTGAACCAGACTGGCCAGGGATTCTTCTTTGTAATTTTGTTTTTGGAGGATACTAAGGCCCTTCTTAGACGGTAGTAGCTATATATTCCCTCGGGAGCATACTTAGAATTCACTAGCTAGATAGCTATGTATCTAGTCTCCTACACAAACATTTAAAAAAACTGTAGCTATAGTCTACTACACAAAAACGTAGTTTTTTTGTGTAGGAAATTAAAATTATAGATACAGTTATTTTAAATCATTGTGTAGGATACTGGCTAAGTTTGTGTAGAAAGCTACGTAGCTATCTAGCTAAAGTGAAGAATTAGTGTCGTAGGAGTCTCACTATTTAGCTAAGTCTGCTCCCGAAGGAATGGCTACTACCGTCTAAGGCGAGACATACGGCACGTTGTAGTAAAAGAAGGGAGGACAGATGATATTACGGTATTGCACTGTGGATACATGTCACGCATTTTTGGCGAGAATCACGTATAGCTAGAACCTTACATTATAGGTTATACTGCACGTATTATAATTCTTCAGGGGTTCATCTTCTATCCCAAGTTCCTCACCTAGTGGGAGAGGAAAGAGAAAAAGAGAGGCTGACTCAAGAAGCAAGCCTGCCACACAAACTAGCCATAACTTCGATTTGTATAAGCGATTTGTATAAGAGTAATCATAATTATGCAGTGTAGTATTCTTTTCATTGGTGTGACAAACAGATTATAAGGCAACAATTTTGACCTAGACACTTGTCGCGAATAACTTCCACCATGAATGTGATGAATGTCACAGAATGTTGCAGAGGCTGCAGATCAAGAGGTACAGACCCTCACCTATAACCTTCCACCCGCGTGTGGTAGACTTTAAATATCTAACCTGACGACAACATGAAGTGTAGCTATGTGCCTATATAATTATGATATCCATGCTGTGGTGGCAGCATAAAAATTTGGTCAGTGTATGTTTTAGTAAAATGCTTGAACAGACCATGAAGAGTATCAAAACTAGCTACACACTAGCTCACTCTCTAGCAAGCAATGTCTAAATTACTAGCAAGCAATGTCAAAATTATATACTAGCAAGCAATGTCTAAATTACAGGAGACTCATCTGTGGGTATTTTTGTATAGGAGGAGACTTTATTGTCAGAATGTATGCGTGGAACCGGACTGGACTGCGACTCTTGTTTGTAATGCTGTTTGGGGAGGATACTTTAATTATTTTAAAGGTTTGTGTAGGAGACCATAGCTAAAATATCTGGCTAGGGTGAATTCATGTCGTAGGAGTGTCACTGTTTAGCTAACACTGCTCCCGAAGGAATGGCTACTACCGTCTAAGACGAGACATAACAATCTCCGGCACGTTGTAGTAGAAGAAGGGAGGACATATTATGATATTACGGTATTGCACTGTGGATTAAATACCACGCATTTTTGGCGAGCATAGCGAGCGATTTTCGCGAATCACGTAGCTAGAACGGTTATACTGCGCGCAAATGGAAATACGCGACTTAGACGGCCCGAGACCAGGGGGCCCTGAGCTGTAGCTGTCTGAGCGCAGCTAAGACGCTACTAAGGGCTCTAAATCGTGTATTTCCATCGACAAGCAGTATATATAAACCACACCCTAGCTCACGCAAGGCATTCACTTTCGGCGGCGCGGTAAGTCGGTGCTATAATTATAGCTACCACGTTCGTATGTCCGCCAGTAGTTTTGTTGCGCACGCGCGTGTGTCTGATCGCACCCTCTTCTCAAAGGTGATGGAACTCTAGTTTGACAAAATTCTTTCTCCTTGCGTGTTTAGCAAGCGAGACTACCGTTAGCTACTACTAACCGCAATTTTTTGTAGGCACGCAGCGTGCGTGAACAGCATTGAAAATGAACTGCCGAGGCACAGCCTGGCGAGTAAGAAGATGTGAAGTGGCCTTTTCGTGAAAACTAACCCAGGCTACGGAACTGGAGCTGCTCTGATGACATGATGACCGCGGTGTATTATTGTTAACCCTCGGCGCGCATGCGCAGCGAGGGTTACAGTACTTGGTCTGTCCGTCTGTCCGTCTGTCCGTCCGTCTGTTAGCTACCACGTTTTTTTACCGCCACGCGCAACAAACAGGCCAAATAGCGACACCAACGGGTTTTCAACGCGGAAAACGTCCTTTACAGATTGGGAAATTCTATACTCACAACAGACAGAAATTAATTAGCTACTACTGTTCTGTATACATACTAGTCACACTACTGCAAGCCGAGGTGGTTTCCTCAGGAATCACAGAGAGCCTTTTGATTGCTCCTAACAGGTGTCCTCCGCGTTGAAGGTGCATCGATTCATTAAATGGGGATATATCCTTTCCCCCCGGAATGATGGGCTTTGTCGGCAGTGCTATTCGTGAGCTACCAAAAGTTCTGTTTGGTGAACTCAACCAACTCCTACCGATGGGAGTCATAGTAGCCACGCCCCCAAATGCGGGTATAGATCCTGTGCTAGTGAGAGGTGTGCCGACAGTTGGTTCCAATGGTTCCATCATGATTATGTCCCGGTCGTCCGAACTGTCACTCTCTCCCTCTTCTTCTTCGGTGATTCCCGGCTCATTGTCGTCGTCATCATAGGAGTGATAGGGAGATATGACTGTCTCTCGCAGACAGGCTGGGACCCAGTTGGACAGGTTTGAGTGACCGGAGAATACTGGTATAGCAACAGGAGCCGGAGCAGGTCCCGAACCTGGATTACTGCTCGTAGCCTTACTTTCCTTCTTTTTCTCTTGTTTTGGCATATATTTTGGTGGTGTTACCTTTTCTGTACTGACTTTTTCTTTCATTGGCCTAAGACCCTCTCTCAATGCTTGATACGCCCCGATATTAAGGGGTTTTCCCCTTCGTAACTGTGCTCTATCTAGAGATGCAGTCCTGAGTCTCTCGGTTGGTGTTCGAAATACTTTGACTCGCTCTTGGGGCAGCTTTGAAACACCCGGCCTTCTCCCTTCCTCATTTCCTACACCACCAGTCACTCCATCTTGTCTGTCCTTCCTCTCAAGGAGCATTTTCTTGACTTCAGCCACAGAGATAGTGGCCGAGTCGTATGAGGAAGTGGCCAGGGAGCTAGGACCCCTAGTGAAGCTCACTGAAGGGCGTGGTGTCTTCTGAGCAGACGAATAGAGCTGTGCAACACGACTTGCAATATTGTGCGACATAACTGCGTCAGTTCTTGGTGCTCTGGTTTTGTTTTGAGTTTCTGCGTCGACTTCATGCTCCGATGAGAATATTCCCTCGAATCGTTTTTCAACTTTTCCCTTTTCAAAGTCAATGTCGTTTTCCTGCTGGCCCCACTGCTTGCTAACAGCCATCCCTTCATCAACACCCCCATCAACGCCCCCCACATTCACCCCTTCCCCCTCCTCCGTGTCTATTTCTGTCTGACTTGCTAAATCGCCAGGGGCACTCCCTCGTCGCTCCCCATTGGAGTAATGGGAACCGAATGTCTCCGGCTCACTTGCTCGCCGTTTGAGGCTGGGGTATGGAGTATAGTGGGGTGTGGAGGTCCCCGTATGTACTCCGGAGTCCTCTGCCCATTCCTCCACATTGAAACGGACGGACTTTCTGAGGTGGAGTGAGTTGTCGTCCGAGTGTGTCACCTCTGATGAGACATCGCTCACTGCGCTACTGCCCCTCATGCCCGGTTCGTTCAGGTTCTCGTTGACACTTCGACTCTCTTTCAGAATTGACTTGACAGATGTTGACTTTGTCATGGTGGTTGGGACCACTAGGGCCCCCTCGGATGCTCTTCTCCCTGTCCGTGTGCCTTTCTGCAAGAGTGAAAGAATCAACCATGTGATGATAATATGCTGATGATGGCTTGCTCTGTGCATGTGTGCAGGTATGATTCCACTTCTTTAATGGTGGGCCTTTACTTATTGCATAGTCCTATGAGTGCACGAATCATAAACAGGGTGCATAAGCAAGGCAAGCAAAGAGCCAACGACACCCAGAGCTGCCTTGGATGGTAGTTGAACCCACGGCACTCTGCTATCTTGGCAGTGCCCTCTTTTCCCTGAGCAAAGAGAGCAGCTCAGTAGGAAGGGTCTATAGGTGTTGGTTAGGCCTCTCTTTCATGACTTTGTTATTATTGGATTGGTGAATGTACATTGTAGTTTGTTACTTTAAAGATAACAACTTCTGTAGAAGGCACACTTAATGGGCAATCCCAAATGAATTAGGAATTTTTCATACCTTATTTATAACTCGTCTCTTGTTATGACTGTGAGTGTCTAGGCTCCTGTCATGAGAAGGGGTCCCAGGGATGCTTTGTTCAAACATGCTCTCGTCCAGTACAAGGTCATTCAGTGTACTGGGATCCTACACACAGTGTATTTTTAGCAAACATACACCCAAAAATGTCTCATGTAACTTTTCAATGTACTAAGCATCTATCAGCATCATGCAATGGCTATTACGATAATACAGATCCATGAAACGCTTGTTTGCATTGTTGCATAGCAACGTTGCATGGTATATAGTAAATTACCGAGTTTAAACAATGCCGTCGTTAAAGGTTAGGGTGGCTGTAAAAGCTAACGGACTTACCTCAACATCAGTCACTTGCGTTGGTTGTGAGGCAGTCAGCAGGTTGGAAGAGCTCCTACACAGGTTGGAGCCGAGGGGGTAGTTCGCTTGCAGCAACTGAGACAAGCTCTTGCTCTTCGACCTGAAAGAAAGCTTCATCCACTCACAATAGAAAGGTATGCACAGTAGAATCTCCGATAAGGGACTGTCAGAGACAGGGACCTCACTAAGAGGACACTAGGAACACTTCTTTCAACCCTGTGCTAATTCAGTAGTGTTTGAACTCCAAGATAGGGACGACCTCTAAACAAGGGCTTGCCCCATAGTGAGGTTCACCTGATTGCAATAATAATCAAATTTTCACAAATGGTTTACAGTAAAATTGAACTTGTGATGTTACGACCTGTCTCTGTTGGTAAACCGTCTTGGTACAGATGGCGACAGTCTAGCTGGCACTCTTTGTGGCTCACGATGTCTCCCTCCTTTGTAAGATTCGCAGGAACACAACTTGGACGTAACCAGATGCCCCTCTCTTGACATGCACAAACACATGTAAAGTCTGCAAATTGTAATTGTTGGAATTATATAACTGTTCGATGTTCGATGATGTGTTAATTGATACATACCCAATAGAAGTAAAGAAGATGATGAAGATGACACCAATTGCAATGAGGCAGACAATCAGGGCAATGATTGCAACATCATCTGCACCCGCTGTGTTGAATAAAGGGTTTCAATACAGGATATCTGTAATGAGAGGGGCTTACTCACGGGCAATAACAGTAATTGTGACATTTGTACTGGTTCCACGTATATCTTGGGCCTGTACGGCACATATGTACACACCGGCATCACTGGTACTAGCATGAGATACTGAGAATTGTCTGCAGAGAGATACACACATTTACAACTATCTATCTCCTGTGGGGAGAGGACACTGAAAAAAAATACGAGGAAAAGCTTTCTCATTGAACAAACCTTAGGCCCGACTGTGGAAGTAGCATGTGATTGCAAGAACATGGGTAACCCGGGTGAAAGCGGTAGACGTCGTTACGCGTACTAAATGACCGTAACGCACTTAATCGCGTTTGCGCGATTCTACGTATAACTGCGGCGATGCTCGTCATTGCGCGCTAGAACGCGCGAGAACGCGCGGTATATTTGCGCGCAAGAAAATCGCGCAATTGCGCAATATCATCGCGCATCATCGCGCAGATAATCTAACAACAATATATTCGGTGGAATACACACATACTGTTCTGACTGAAGCTTGATTGACACACACTTGCACATTAAAAACTCCACAGGAACTAAAACGTTTGGTCCAGCACAAACCAATAATATTCGTGATACACCATTGTCAAGAGCAGAGTGTGGTAATCGAAAGTGAATTTTGTTGCAACTCTTTTGCAAAAACTGAGATATAAAAGCATATGCTTTAGAAGAACCAGGTAGAGAAACACACAAAAAATATTCAATTTCACCAAACTGGGTCTGATCGTTGTGTCTAAAACAAACAGTGTAGTTATTTCTTTTTTGTGTGCGTGTATAAACCTTTGAAAAATAAAGAACATCGTTTACAAAACATCTTTGAAATACGTTCCCCACAGACAATGTCACATTGAGTGTGTGTTGCAATAAAGAAATAATGAAATCATCCAACTGCTCTTCCTTTGACTTTCCCACTAGATGGATATTGTCACCAACCGGTGTCTTGAAGAGTAGGCCTTCATTCAGACAGTGGATCTTCCATTAAATTTTATAGAACACTCAGTATTGTACAGCGCAAGCGTTAGTTCACGTAATAATTTTACGCGAAAAACACGCACAAAAATAGCGCGTAATATCGCCTCATAGCGCGACAGGGCGGGAGGTCGCTGCTAAGAAAAGCGCGTATTTCTCACGATGAAAGGCGATTTTTTAAGCGTAATACAGCGATTTTATGAGACTTACCGCGATAAACACGTCGCATTTCAGCGCGTAAAACTTACGCAAATGCGCGTTAAATCAACTTTCTTTTCACTCGGGAAGAGACACAACTTAATAGAGTACAAAGGAAAGGCCAGCAGGAATACCTGCATGCATAAATACCCACTGCCATAATTGCTCCATGGTACAGATGTGTGTATATGCAATGAGTCAGAGTCTAGGATATTCATGAGGCAATGATTCTCCCAGTACCAAGTGATATATTTGCAGCCAGACACAACATCAATACACCCCTGTACAGCAGAGAGATTCATGACTGGGACAGGCATGCACTGATTGAACTCCAGCTGGCCAGGATTAATAATTATTGAGTGTCTGAAAATTTTTTTACTACAGAAGAGAGTGAAAATAGCTACCTGCTTATTTGTATACTCTTTCATAAATAGCTATCTTTGAAAAATAGGTTTGAACGTGATGTCTGCATATAAAAGGCATAACACCAGGTGGTGGCAAATCTCATCACTCAGGGAATCATCATTAATATATAGCTATATAGCAAGCAGGTAAAAATCAAAACTGAGATACTTTAATGAGCATTCGCTGAATGAAGTATTATTCATAAAGACATGCATAATGTAAAGCCATTATTGGTTTGGCTGCCACTCAAGTGGTAGCGACAGGACAAGTGTAGTTGTAGGAATGGGGAATTGTGCGACTTCGCAAAAATATTATTGTTTCTGTGTGTCACTCACCTTGATCCATTCAATACTAGCTCCCCGTCCTTCTCCCAGGAGTAGTGCAGACTGTTATTGGCTCTACTTTCACCTACATACGCTTTACAGCTGTATGCACAATAAAAAGGTCACCGATCACATTTTGCGTTTTTTCTGCAGTTTTATACCTGAGTGTAAACGGATCCCTCTCTTTCACTACAAGATCCCCTGGTTGTACAGTGATGGTGATGTCCGCGGCTAGAGGGAAGAAGCAGCTACGTGTGAACGAACTGGCGCTCTAGCTTACTACAGCAAGATACTTCCCGCACTGAAAATCTAGCGGTTAGGTAGGTATAAACTCACCAGGGATAACTGGGAGCACGAAAACGGCACAAACAAGCAGAATCGCTAAAATAACTCGCCCTCCCATGACTTCCCAACTGCTGGCGCCTTCAGTAACGAGCTAGCTAGCTGGGCTTGCACGTGCCCCACCCCCTTTGTGCTTGCTTCCCACATATTCACTGCGCATGCGCTTTTTGCACAGGTTTAGCCCCACCCAGCTTTTGATTGTCAACAGAAGACAAGAACTGGCAAAGTATGTCGCGACCCAAATCGACGTCTAGATGGTCGGCGGCATCTACAGCTCTGGCAGGCGATGACGAAGTGGTGGCGGAGACGTTCAAGGTCTTGGTGCTGGGAGGCAGCGACGTGGGGAAGACCAGTGTCGTCAGGTACTTTACCGCCGGCGGCAACGTGCCCCGTCTCCTGCCAACTGTGGGTTAGTTCAACCTGGCCCCATCGCTGTGTCTCTATAATTCGCCTCCGGCTCTAACGTTTGGCTGCATAGCATAGCTAGTAGTAATTTTTCAGTTTTAGTGGAAAGTAGTGTGTTTTGCACCATCAATGGCTTGTGTATAGGCACGGCTGTGTGTTGTGATGTTTGGGACTAATTGCTGTTTGCGTCTATCCTTTTCATAGTGCCATGCTTAATTTGGTAGTTGCTCCTCCTTTTATGTGCGGCACACTCACTACTCACTAGAATAGGTTTTGGACATGCACTCAGTTTATACAGTCTCAGTTTATTATGAGCCATGAGAGCATGTCTTTGCATTGATATACCAAAACCACAGAGTACATGTTCTTTTTGCTTTTTACTGTGAGATATCCATCTGTCATAGAGAGTGTTCAAACTATTGACCTTGAATAATTGGATTGTGTGTCAATAGGTGGTCAATGGACTGTGAGGGTATTAGGCCTCCCTCGCATCAAATAGAAATGTACTGTGTATGTTGTAGTAAAGACTGTGACAATGTCTCCCATACACTGCATGACAGCTCTACTCAGAGTGCTTGAGTAAGTAGAGCCAAATATAGCCTCTTACGTCAGATGCTGATGATGTTGCAAGTCTCTGGTGACCAACAGGCTATAGACAACTGAAAACAGAACAGCTATGGAAAAACACAACCCATTGAATGCTATGTTTTTGCTGAGTATTTTCTCCCAAAGTTTACTCATGTCCTAAACTTTAGCTGTTCCACCTTATCGTAATTCATGGGCTTCTGAAGTGTACTATATAGTAGCAAAAGCTTTGCCCTATGTAAAGCAGTTAGTATTGTATCACTAGTCCATATTTTCCTGTGTATATACAGTTAACAGCACTACTGTTGATCTATTAGGTATGGACTTCACTGATGTAGTGGTAACTGTCAGTGGAACAAGAGTCAGACTAAGAGTATGGTAAGCGGTTTGTCGACCTACTAAATATGTTATGGGACAGCCTTAGCTGTTTTTGGGATCTGCTGTTCAAGCATACTGTTGATTTAGCTGCATACATGCATAGCTACATCACAGGCACTATTCAGGTTGTATATCTGTTTTGCTTATGGAAACTGTGTAAATATTGCACTGCTCTATATATTATATATATACATACATGCAGCTACTAGTGAATTAATGGTGAGCATTTTGGCGAGTTGAAGTGAGAACTGCAGAAACATTTTAAGCACAAGAAGTGTGAACCCCTCTACCAGCTGAGTTTCTTAGTAGCTCAGTAGGTAGGACAGCTCCTCTTTTCTGGGGGAAAAAGGGTTGCCCTGTGTGTACTTGACTTGTTTCCTTTACCTTTCCGTCTCACCTTGTTGGATAAAATGAACCATTTACGTTACACCACTAAGATAGATATGTAGCTCCTACTTGCCACTAAAAAGTTGTCTATCTCATAATTACAGGGACACAGCAGGGCAAGAGAGATTTTTCACATTCACCAAACAGTTCTTCAGGGGAACACAAGTATGTACATGGACTACGTATTATACAGATATTCAATGCTAGACACATTTGTCGGTTTTTGGTATGCCAAAGAAACATAATCATGTGTCTTTCTCTAAGGTTTTACTAAAATAATGACTAAGGAATGTATACTGTACTATGTTTACACAGGGTATCATATTAATGTATGACATCACCAGCATGGCCAGCTACCAGACACTTATGAAGTGGTTGCAAACTATTCACCAGGTAACTTGATCATGTATATACTGAACCATTGTTGTTGACCTTTCTCTCTGTCTGAGTAAAGCAAGCAAGCCTTCCAAATCAGCTCTATTGGCTGTTTTTCTTATCCATAGGCACTGTCGTTTTACGTAACTGTAAATAGCTACATGAAATGGCATATCCAGTGTTGTGTGTGGCTTGTGCATTTGCTCACCAATAATGCATGGTTGTCTGTGAACTCAAAGTGATTGGATGAGGTCAACAGTGTTTAGGCATAGCAGATAGAGATTTGCTTTTTGGTATATAGATTCCACACTACCACTGCCGTTTTTTAACATGCTAGAATGGAGAGGCTTCGTAGTTCAAGGCACATCCATGTAGACTGCATATTTAAATGGAGATTACTGAGATAGCCACTTCATTTTTTGGCTTACGAGTGACGACCACCTTTCACACTGATAGCCTACCGCTCACAGTACACAAGAGAGTACAGTTTGCACAATTGGCAAACCTAGTCGTCTGATTCTTCTATACACATATGACTGTAGCGTACAATGGGCAGTGTGCACGTTGTACGTGATTCTAATGACCTCTGAAACACACACGAAAAATTGAACTGCTTGCGAAAAATGCATTGCATCGTTTTAGTATTTGAAACCTACACCAGCATGGAAAGCACGCCATACAGTTTGTCTCATTACATAATTTGGGTCTCTAAAATTGAACAACAAAACTCGTGTGATGTCTGTTCAGATGGGGATGGAGAGTGTGGTGACAGTGATGGTGGGAAACAAGGTGGACCTGGAGGGCAAGAGAGAAGTTCCTCTCCAGACTGCCTCCAAAGTTGGTGACATCACTACAACTACATCACAAACAGCTGAAGAATTACAACAACTTCAACACAAGTCGTTATAATAATAAATCTCTATGGGGCCCACATTACGCATGCTATAACATACGTTATAAGGGCACGAGTTGCACAAGCAGTATGATGGTGGTCTGTCGCGCCTGAGGTCCCAGGTTTAATCCTACCTCGGCACTCTTTTACTTTCTTTCATTTGAGCATTTGTTGCATTTGACCCTCAGGGTGCTTTGGACCTTGGGTAATTACTGTTGCATAGTATGTCAAGTGAATAATCAGTCTTATGTGTATATAACTGATTTTTGACAGTTGGCAAGTCGCAAAGGATTCGAATACATAGAAACAAGTGCTGTCAGTGGAAAGAACGTCCATACAGTGAGCTATGTAATTATAAAGTCAGCAGATACTTTCTTAATACAGTGGGTCCAGATTAATATTGTACCCACTGTGCATCCAAAATTATGCGGACAATGCTGGTGTGTATACTATGTATACCAATGTATAGTGTGACCCAGATAGGAGTACAATGCAGTTCGCAGTTGTTTACATAAGGCAGGTGGAGAATGGAGAGTTACAAAACCCCAGCCCAAGGTTGTAGAATGCCTAATTAGGCTTGTGCAATAATGATGATACTCAGGCAAAAACCAAAATTGCTCAATTTTTCTATGGTAGCTAATAGGCAGGATATGACATTATCCGTATTCTATAAAACAGAGTAAAATGTATGGGAAAGCATAGGAGAAATGGTTTTGGATTTAATGTTTGTATGATAATAAACGGGATATTCTATTAAACGGTATGATATTAAGTGGGACCAATGTATTATTAACATCCTACTGTCCACAGTCATTCTATAAACTGGCCGAATCGTTAATCTTCAGCAGGGGAATATTCTTACCAGGAGAAGAGGTATTCAAACTAGTACAGGTTGACACCCCAAGGTGCTTTGAGAATTTTTGTCAAATTAAAGAGCAACTATTGTTTTTAAAGACTCTTTCCAAAACTTGTATTCCTTTGCTATACGTACACAGACACGTGTTAAGGCTAGCATTAACAGCTTGGTGTGGAGTAAAGTAATGTTCTAACTCCTCTCACAGGTGGAGGCAAGGATGCAAGGTGGTCTCACGTCCAGTCGGGCTGAGAACGGAACGTTCAAAGTGGAGGACAGAAGCAAAGAGGAGAGACGAAGAGCTGCCATCAGCAACAGAAAACTTAGACATGACTCTGAGAGAGAACGCAGCAAAGGCAGCAGTGGTGGCTGCTGCTCCTAGCAACAAAATCATACAATTACATGTAGCTCGTTTTTGATGCATTATTATGGTGTGTGTTTCTCTTAATGTATATATAGCCTGAGGCTCGCAACTACTTGGAATATACATGCGTGCACGCATCTAGATATGACAACGTTACATTACGTAATATATTACGTCTCTATTGTCATTATGTCATTTATTCAGTGCTCGACAGCAAGGTATGAGAATGCTCAAGCCTCTCTGCCATCTCCATGCAGTGACATTGCACTACAGCCATAATTGATGGTATTTGTCAGTTTTGGGCACTGGCTGGGGTGGGTATGTCCCTGTTAATTACTAAGGCATTATTCGTTAAATCTTGCTCTGCTTTTGCAAAAAGTCTTGATTAGTATTTTACCATTAACAAGGGATTTTGGGAAGAACATCCCATAGAGTTATCAGCAAGGCCACTCTGGCATTTCCTTTTGCCAAAAATATGTACACTATCATATTACATGTAGTATAGAGATAACAATGGCATGATATGTATGGTATGTGCACATAATATAGAGTCCAACCCATGCACCTGTAGTATGCATGCCGGATAAGTTGGTTCAACACCATCTGGGCACATGCAGTTGCTCTCTCTTTAGCTCACTATTGTCATTTCTACAGACTTTGACTTAACAGTGAAGCAATTTTGGCAGCAAAAGAAAGACACTTTACCTTAGGCAAAAATAACCACAGTGTTTGATAGCTTTGTGAGTTGCAAGCCAACTATATAGGTAGCCACAGTATGCAGGCACATTTTCATCTAAACCATGGAAAGATACAGTGATATAAGTATAATGCCGCCTAGGCGTGCTGCCAGTAAATCGGTAAGCTATCTTCATCGGACGGGACATTGTTGTCAGCGAAAAATAATAAAGGTATTATTCTTTTAATGCTACTGCATAACTGATGTGGATTTATATCACTGGCCTATCTTTAAATCTGAAATTTACAAACAAATTGAGACGGTGTAGACATTTAGGTAGCTGTGGTTTTTCACAGTTTGGGGAGAATTTTGGGTGTATGCAAGTCTAGGATGACTCAAGTCAAATTAAGGAAGTGCATTCACAGTAACACAGTCACAATATTGAAGAGCACTGAAGTGCAAACCTTCGGCGAACTGGGCATGCGCGGTACCGCTAATGGATGGACCCGCAGTCTCCCGCTCGCGGAGAGTTTGACACGGACTAGCTACGGTAGTAGATAGGGAGTCGATACACGCCCTTCGCTGTCGTTTCTTGTGCCTCCAAGGTACACAGAGCAAGCGGATCAGGTCGGGGTGAGCCAGCATACCGCGTCTAATGGAAACGCATGCGCACCACTTATTGATGGGTTGGGCCACGGAACACGGTCCGCGACGGTGCCAGTTTGTCGCTCTCGAACGCAGTCGTTTCAGGATAATCGCCCTTTTGTTTTTCAGGCTCGTTTAATTCTGAAGCCGCTGGTATCGCTAACGCGCCGCTTCGTAGCCTGTAGTGCCAGAATAAGCGTCGACACACACACAGACAGACAGACAGACAAACCAACTACAGTAACCCTCGCTACGCATGCGCGCCGAGGATTAATTATATTCATGACAAACCAACTTTGTGGCTTCCGAAACTATGTACTTAGGTCACAGAGGGTGCACATGTGTTCGCGGCCTAAGGCCTACGCTAGATAAAATGTACGTATAATACATATGTAGGAGGTCACAAGGTTTATCTGGCATAGCTAGCTACCTATATAATATCCCTCTACAACTTGACTGTATAATTATTATTCGTTAAAACCAGGTTTTACTCTTGCCAGGAATGTACGGTTGAAGCGAGGACCATTTATCAGTCAACTGCGCGGCATTGAAAAACCACGTTTCCACGGTGTTCATAGACAAATGTACGTATAATATATACGTAGTTTCGGAAGTCACAAGGAATGTCCGGATGCAGCCAGAACCGTTTGTTATACCGCTAAACTGTTGAACGTTTCCACGGTGTTTATGTACGTACCTTGGAACCTAATTAGACCTATACACTTTTAAAAACACCACGGAAGGGTTCGACGTTGCTATATAGAGCAGCGTTCAAACCGGCGAAGATGAAGGGATTGTTCCTAATCACTGCAGTTCTTTTGTCGTTTCTTCAAGACTCATGCGGAGATGACTTACCTATCTGTAGGGACCTCAGAGCTCCATTCCAATACCCTGACGCTACATACTGCCCACAGTATGCTGAGTTAGGCTGCTGCGGAAAAAGAGGAGAAAGGCGTGCAGAGAAAACTGTGCCTTGCAGCCAGGAAAAGGAGGCTTGCGCCGAGTACACCCGCAATATTAGCTGTCTAACGTGCTCACCGTTTTCTGGACGGATGTTCGACGACAGCGACAATGCCCGTATTCCACTTTGTCGCAGCTACTGCGCGGAAACGTACAGGAAATGTAGGTACTCCTTGCTCAAAATCTTCAAACTACGTCCGTGGAGAGATGGACTTGTGTCAAGGAACCCTGAAACAGAGGAGGAGCTAGAACGAGACGCCGTAGCGTTTTGCGAGAAGTATGCCTCCGAAGCTCCCTACTGCTATCCTCAAATCATGGCGTTGGAGAGCCAACACACCTCGCCGCGGCCACGTTCACCGACCGACTGCGTGTGCGCTGTCCCTGTAGCCACAAGACTGGTTCAACCGCAGGCTATTGCCGACCCAGGGGACAAGTCTAACCGACTTTTTATCCTGGAGGAAAGTGGAAATGTCAAGATTCTTGATCGTGGATTAAATAAAGTTCTGGAAGAACCATTACTCAACATGACGCGTGTTTTATCTGTCGACAAGGAGACGGAGCCCAATTTGACAGTAGGAATCGTCAGGTACAATGTTTTTGGTGCAATGAACTTTATTCTTCATCCCAACTTTATTTGCAACGGACTTTTCTACGTCTTTTATATACAAGCTTCAAACACAACGGATGATGATCTTGGCTTGTAGTCGGTAAATATCACAGAGTTCAAAGTTAGTGAGACAGATCCAAACAAGGTCAATTATGATTCCGAGCGACTGATATTTTCATCTTTGTACGAGAAAATCATCCCAGGGTTTCATCTCCATGGCAGTGCCCTCTACTTCAAGGACAGCTATCTCCACATTGCTATCGGTAGGACCCCAGAATCCAAGGATGTCTTAAATCTGTAAGTACTAACATTTGTAATGTCTTGTGAGCATTTAGTCAATGCAGACTCTCCAGTTTCAGGGGTTTTCCCCATAATTGGTGGGGGATTTTAATTCTCGACAATTGCCCAGCCTACTAACTTGTAGTTTGCTATTTAGACTAATGTTTATAGCCATGAACAATGTTGTGAGGGGATTGAGTAGCAGCTAAAAGGTTTTCCTTCTTAACCGAGCTTAAAGTCTTTGAAATGCCACTAAGTAGCTATAATGTTATAATAATTATTATGCGGGGTTTTAGTGGTACGCCCTTGAGCTACAGACGGTATCCTATTCTGTAGGATAGTATTCCCTAGGAACACCTTACTTGGTAGCTATTATACTCTATAATGGCTCACTTCCAGTGAGATTTGTCTAGCATCCATTGATCAAAGCTGCTAGGTTGGGCTCTCTTGTTATGGCTATTCATAATCATCTTTTGTGTTTCAGTCGCTCTTACAACGGAAAGATAATTCGAATAGACGTAGACGACCAAGATCCTGGGAAGGAATATGCTATACCACCGGACAATCCATTCATCAACGACCCTGATGCCTTCCCTGAGATCTATGCCTATGGATTTGTCCAGCCATGGAGATGTTCAGTTGACCCGGGGGATCCAGTTGATGGGTATGGTGAATGGCGCGAGTTTTGCGGTGATATTGGTGTGTGGCGGATGTCATGGAAGAGGTTGACATTGTGGAGAAAGGAGGAAATTATGGATACCCTCTCTTCGAGGGGACTGTGTGCATAGCAGACAACCAGACATGCGACGAAGGTGAAGTATGTATACTGTTCAAACAATCTCTATTAATGCTTCTCAGTGCGCCCATTCCTAGTGTTTGCCATTTACATCACTGAGTCTCTGTGTATTATACAGAGTATATTATTCTTTTCACAGCTCGTTCGGATCTGATTTTTCCCATTAATTCCTATACCTACGGACGAGACATTGGTCTTGTAGGAGGCTATATGTACTATGGGTGTCTACACCCAAACCTTAATGGAAAGTACATATTTGGAGATTATACTGGGTAAGCATTCAGTACTAGTCAGCACCTCTATAGAAGAGAGTAGCTAGATAAAGAGGGGGCTGGGTTCTGCCTGTATTGTGTGTAGACTAAGATGTCATTCTTAGCTGCTATTAATCAGCAAGCCTATAGCTCAGTATGGTAGCTAAATACCAAAATAAAAATAAAACTCCTCTGAGTTGTATTCGACCTGAAGTCCTACATAGCCACAAATACTAGCATTACAGACATCGTTTGTATGCATATGGCGCGAATCATCCGTTGTTTGGGGACTGTATGTGCGATAGGGGTAGATAGCTACACAGCCATACATAAAAAACGTTTCTTGGCCTCACTTTTAGCTTACTTACAAATGTGTGGAAAAATATACACACTTTATTGGCAAGCACAGGTTAGTGTGACAGAAGTAAGCATAAGCTATATAGCATCCCACTTTTCACGTGTGGACTCACTTCCCATGCAATATGCAATCCTCTAGTGCTTTTTATAACTAGATATGTTATTCTGTTTATATATTAGAGGAATGTTGATCATGGAGGAGGACAGGGACACTGGTGAATGGGAGCGTCACAGACTCTGCATCGGAGATAGCAGCATATGTCCTGGGGCAGACGTCTCTCCTCTCTTTGTGGCCTCACTTGGACAAGACAGCAACCAGGAGATTTACATAGTAGCCATTGAAAGGGACACAATGGATGCAGTTGCATCAGGTGTCCTCTACCAGATCACTGACCCTACCCTGTAAGTGTTGTTCCTTTTCAACACCTGATAAAGATGAAATCTTGCATATCTGAGTCCATTTACATTATTGTTTGTGACTCATTTAGGAGGAATGACCCTCAAGAATGCAATAAGAAGAACACCAAGTTTACTTAAACAACTGATCCTTTAGAGATCTAGCTCCTATAACAAATTTTGTTGATATTTCCCCTGTAAATGTAATGCTTGTTACTAAAATGTCTATGATTGCTCTCTGCTGGTGATAGCGAGCGAGCATGAATGTTGGCAATAATATTATAAAGGTGTCTGAGCATTATCAGACTGTAAAATATAATAGAAGCGGCTGGGGTTAGTCTAATTATACTTCGGCTGTGTGTCTATGCTTCTGTCTTTCTGCTATCCGGCATCTCAAAAGCAGCAGATAAAAGTTGCAAATTTGCCTTGACCTGTTTGGCCCGTTCAGCACACACATCCATACCAGCATTTCTCGTTGCTCAAAGCACTGCTTTCATGGTGCAGGCAACCTAGAGGCAAGTGGTGAGTCGGCCCATTATAGCGATTGATTTCTGCGCGTGCGTTTTGTGCACGCGCTATCGGTTGCGTTGCGAGTTTGCGTGCGTACTATACCTCCCTGTTTAATCATGCGCATGAGCCCCTGCGGGCGGACATTTTGCGCCGAGGATAAGCATTGCTGCAACTGTCTTGGCCGGTCTTCACTCGTGTATAAATAAACTTCTTCACTTTCTTGTAGGACTGGGTGCTGCATTCATAAGAACTGCAGGGATGGATGAAGCTACAGTTTACCAAAAAATCTATTGTTTTAGTCAACAATACAATGTCCAATTAATTAAGCAGTGTCTTTAACAGTTCTGCTTAAATAAACTTGAGGTTCTTCTGATTGCATTCCTGAGGGCCATTCCTCCTAAATGACAATAATGTAAGATCAGTCAAAAACACTCTGATATGCAAAATCTCATCTTTACATAATGATCAGGAGTTGAAAAAGGAACAACACTTACAGGGTAGGGTCAGTGATCTGGTAGAGGACACCTGGTGCAATTGGATCCCCTGGATTCCTTTCAATGGCCACTAGGTAGATCTCCTGGTCACTGTCTTGTCCGAATGAGACCACACGGAGAGGAGAGATGTCTGCCCCAGGACATATGCTGCTATCTCCAATGCAGAGTCTGTGACGCTCCCATTCACCAGTGTTCCTGTCCTCCTCCATGATCATCATTCCTCTATATACCATCCACAGAACAGGATATAACATAGCTGGTTAAACGCATAAACAGACTATATATGAATTGCATGAGTCACGGGCACATAGCCTATACTTATGTTCTGCATCAGCTACGTTATGGTAATCTTATCACAGTCACCATGTGTTCGCCGATACAAATTTCCATTAGCACACATTCGTTATAAGCTAAGTGAGCCCAGACCAATATCAGGCATGGACATCAATGAAGTTAACCCACAAAAATGGATGTTGACAAGTGCTATAGGCGTGCGAATGTATGTAACATTAGTACCTGTGACTATGACCATGTTAGGACTTTACTTGCAGGTCAAATGCAACTCAATGGATTTTTTTCATGTATTGGGTATAAACCATATGAGCTAGGCTTGCTGACAGAATGAACAGCAGCTCTTATATAATCTTGGCAGAACCCAGCCCTCCTCTTTATCTACTCTCTTCTATACATAGGGCGCTGACTGACCCTGTGCTTACCCAGTATAGTCGCTAAATATGTATTTTCCTTTAAGATTTGGGTGCAGACACCCATGGTACACATAACCTCCTACAACAGCAACGCCTCGTCCATAGGGGTAGGTAATAATAGGGAAAATCACATCCGAACGAGCTGTGAAAACAAAAAGTAAACTACAGTATATACATACAACCTCTGAATAAGGGAAACACCTTGGGGTGTCCTTTATCCAGAGGTATAGTATAATGAACTACTGTAATAGTATGAGACAGAACCAAGTATCCCTTTCAGAGAGGTGCCCTCTATTTGGAAGGTCCTATTTTGAAGGTATCACTGCATAACCTAGAAAGACTCAGCGTAAGAAAACTTGTAAATGGCAAAACACTAGGAATGGGTGCACTGGGAAGCATTTTAATATAGGCTAATTGTTTGAGTGTACCTCACCTTCATCACATGTTTGATTGTCTGCTATGCACACAGTCCCCTCGAAGAGAGGGTATCCATAATTTCCTCCTTTCTCTACAAGGTTGACCTCTTCTACGAAATCTGCGACACCAACATCACCGCAAAATTCGCGCCCTTCACCATACCCATCAACTGGATCCCCCGGGTCAACTGAACATCTCCATGGCTGGACAAATCCATAGGCATAGATCTCAGGGAAGGCATCAATGTCACTGATGAATGGATTGTCTGGTGGTATAGCATATTCCTTCCCAGGATCTTGGTCATCCACATCTATTCGAATTATCTTTCCATTGTAAGAGCGACTGTAGTATAGATAAGGATAATAGGACATGAGAGTACAATGATGGCTTGGCAGTTTAGATCAATGGGATTGGTAGACATTTACTGGAGGTGTACATGATCAATTATAATACCTATTGATTAATACACGAATAGCTATACGAATTGGGTCACCCCAGCATTTAATTTCCTAAAGTGCACACAATGGAACCTCTGATAACGGACCCTATAATTAACTTCAGTGTATTATTTTGACATCTGATATGGACAACCTCTCTACAAGGAACGAATATATCGCTGGCCCCATAATGTCCCTTGTTCGGAGGTTCCACTGTACCACTAATCCATTCCTTTTTAACCCTTGGTGGCATTTCAAACACCTAAAGCTAAGTTCCAGACAAAAAATCATCCAGCTGCTGCACAGTCTCCTCAGTTGATGGCTGCATGTAGCTAAACAGTGCTCAAACCACAAGTTAGTTGGCTGATGAATGGTCGACGAGAAATGAATTACCTAACCAATTATGTAATTGCATGGCTCAAAAACGATTATACAAACATTATTGCCATGTAGAGCTATTAAATAAGTGCTTACAGATTGAAGACATCCTCGGATTCTGGGGTCCTACCGATAGAAATGTGGAGATAGCCATCCTTGAAATAGAGGCCACTGCCATGTAGATGAAACCCTGGGACGACTTTCTCGTACAAATAGGAGAATATCAGTCGCTCGGAATCATAATTGACCGTGTTTGCACTAACTTCGAATTCGAAAATATTTACAGAATACAAGCCAAGATAATCATCCGTTATGTTTATGGCTTGTATATAAAAGACATAGAGAAGTCCATTGCAAATAAAGTTGGGATGAAGAATAAAGTTCATTGCACCAGCGATTCCTTGAATAAAATCGGGCTCCCCGGGTAAAACACGCGTCATGTTGAGTAATGGTTCTTCCAGGACTTTATTTGTTCCACGATCAAGAATCTTGACAAATCCACTTTCCTCCAGGATAAAAAGTCGGTTAGACTTGTCGCCTGGGTCAGCTATTGCCCGCGGCTGATCCAGTCCCGTGGCTACGGGGACAGCACACACGCAGTCAGTCGGTGCACGTGGCCGCGGCGAGGTGTGTTGGCTCTCCAACGTCATGATTTGAGGATAGCAGTAGGGAGCTTCGGAGGCATACTTCTCGCAAAACGCTACGGCGTCTCGTTCTAGCTCCTCCTCTGTTTCAGGGTTCCTTGACACAAGTCCATCTCTCCACGGACGTAGTTTGAAGATTTTGAGCAATGAGTGCCTGCATTTCCTGTACGTTTCCGCGCAGTAGCTGCGACAAAGTGGAATGCGGGCATTGTCGCTGTCGTCGAACATCCGTCCAGAAAACGGAGAACACGTTAGACAGCTAATATTGCGGGTGTACTCGCCGCAAGCCTCCCTTTCCTGGCTGCAAGGCACAGTTTTCTCTGCACGCCTTTCTCCTCTTTTTCCGCAGCAGCCTAACCCGGCATACTGTGGGCAGTATGTAGCGTCAGGGTATTAGAATGGAGCTCTGAGGTCCCTACAGATAGGTAAGTCGTCTCCGCAGGAGTGCTGCAGAAACGACAAAAGAACTGCAGTGATTAGGAGCAATCCCTTCATCTTCGCCGGTTTGAACGCTGGGAATGAAGCAGGAGCTTTTATTGTACCACTGATCCCGCGCGCTATAGCAATGCCATATGGAACGCCGTTTCCCCCAAAAGTAAGGCTCTCCGCTTGTCAAAATCGATTTCCAAATCGATCACGTACTCCATTTTTGGTCAAAAATCGATCTTTTTATTCCATTGGGGATCGTTCTCTAAATCGATCTTTTACTCCATTTTCTTGGTAAATCGTTGTCTATTTACTCTCGTTAGCTTCGAGAAGCGCGTGTGTTGGACGTATAACCTGTCCTAAAGACGTCATGTATATCTGTAGTATCCGAAGCCTCTAGTGCGTGATTCCCAGCCCACTACAATCCGCGGACTAACGATGCAAATGACGTTGATTGCCCATTCTGCGATCTGATTAGAGATCGAGACCTAAGATTGAGACAAACGCATGCCTCACGGGAAAAAGGGCACGAAGTCGAGACACCAATCAGATCACAGACCGTCCAAATCAATCAACTTCGCGTGCATCCGGAGTTTTGAAGCGGCATCACACACAGAAGAGTGTTTCGCGAGATCGATTACGAAAATCGATTAGAGCAAAAAATTGAGTGAAAGATCGATTTAGAGAACGATTTCCCCCCAAATATCGAGTAAGAGATCGATTTTTGACCAAAAATCGTGTATCTACGTGATCGATTTGTTTTCTGACAAAAAATCGAGTAGCTACGTGATCGATTTGGAAATCGATTTTTGACAGGCGGAGAGCCCTTACTTTTGGCGGAAACGGCGTTCCATAATGCCATGGTGTCAACTGCGCGGCCTAAGGCGCATTGCGTTTCCACGGTGTTCATCCGAAAAATAGACAAATGTATAATACGTACATAGTTTCGGACGTCACAAGGTTTATCTGCGATGTGCGTAGCTATGTGACTGCCAGGCATTTAGGGTTTTCAGGAATGTCCTTATGCAGCCAGAACCGTTTGTTTTGCCGCTCAACTGTTGAACCAAAACCACGTTTCAACAGCGTTTAAATTTCAGATTTAAAGATAGGCAGTCATATCCACATCACTTAACTATGCAGTAGCATCAAAAGATTATTATTATTCGCCAGTGACAAGTTGAAGATAGCTTACCGTTTTACTGCCAGCACGCCTAGGAGGCATCACACCTATTTCACTGTACCTTTCCATGGTTTAGATGAAAATGTGCCTGCATACTGTGGCTACCTATATAGTTGGCTTGCAACTCACCAAGCTATCAAACACTGTGGTTATTTTTGCCTAAGGTAAAGTGTCTTGCTTTTGCTGCCAAAATTGCTTCACTGTTAAGTCAAAGTCTGTAGAAATGACAATGGTGAGCTAAAGCGAGAGCAACTGCAAGTGCCCAGATGGTGTTGAACCAACTTATCCGGCATGCATACTACAGGTGCATGGGTTGGACTCTATATTATGTGCACATACCATACATATCATGCCATTGTTATCTCTATACTACATGTAATATGATAGTGTACATATCTTTGGCAAAAGGCAATGCCAGAGTGGCCTTGCTGATAACTCTATGGGATGTTCTTCCCAAAATCCCTTGTTAATGTAAGCTATGGTAAAATACTAATCAAAACTTTTTGCAACAGGGACATACCCACCCCAGCCAGTGGCCAAAACTGACAAATACCATCAATTATGGCTGTAGTGCAATGTCACTGCATGGAGATGGCAGAGAGGCTCGAGCATTCTCATACCTTGCTGTCGAGCACTGAATAAATGACATAATGACAATCGAGACGTAATATAATTATTACGTAATGTAACGTTGTCATATCTAGATGCGTGCACGCATGTATATTCCAAGTAGTTGCGAGCCTCAGGCTACACATTTAGAGAAACACACACCATAATAATGCATCAAAAACGAGCTACATGTAATTGTATGATTTTGTTGCTAGGAGCAGCAGCCACCACTGCTGCCTTTGCTGCGTTCTCTCTCAGAGTCATGTCTAAGTTTTCTGTTGCTGATGGCAGCTCTTCGTCTCTCCTCTTTGCTTCTGTCCTCCACTTTGAACGCTCCGTTCTCAGCCCGACTGGACGTGAGACCACCTTGCATCCTTGCCTCCACCTGTGAGAGGAGTTAGAACATTACTTTACTCCAAACCAAGCTGTTAATGCCAGCCTTAACACGTATCTACTCTATATACCGATAGCAAATGGAGTTTTGGAAAGAGTCTTTAAAATAAATAGTTGCTCTTTAATTTGACAAAAAAATTCTCAAAGCACCTTGTGGTGTCAACCTGTACTAAAGTCTATTCGCGTTCACCTTGCCGGTAGGAAATCTGCCGTAATGTAGCTAAACAGCGACCGATTTTGAAATTTCAAAGCGCAGCGTGGTTGTAGTTGACCGTAGGTTCTATTTATCTGCTTTGCGAGCGCGCCCAACGCCCACTTACGTACTTAGCTGTATGTCACATAAGCAAAGTACGCGACGTACCTTTGACCACGAAAATGCAATCACGCGGGTCCCTATGTGCGCGCTTATGTGCGCGCGTAGCGCAGCGCGAGCAAGAACCCTCTCTCCCCGCCGCTACTGCGGGAGCCGAGGCCAAGGAAAAGGCAAGAATGAGAGGTTTGTTGTTTGAATAAACCGTCTTTACTAGAAAAACTCACGGAAAAACACGTGGAACGTATTCAACGCACGCGCGGCGTATATAGCTATTATTATACATCTAGCGCCCACAAATATTCGTGATATTTAAATTATGACGCAACCTTGCGTAAACAGTTTTGACTATATATATAGTGCACTTCCGGCGGCAAGGTGAACGCGAACAGTCTTTAGTTTGAATACCTCTTCTCCTGGTAAGAATATTCCCCTGCTGAAGATTAACGATTCGGCCAGTTTATAGAATGACTGTGGACAGTAGGATGTTAATAATACATTGGTCCCACTTAATATCATACCGTTTAATAGAATATCCCGTTTATTATCATACAAACATTAAATCCAAAACCATTTCCTATGCTTTCCTATACATTTTACTCTGTTTTATAGAATACGGATAATGTCATATCCTGCCTATTAGCTACCATAGCAAAATTGAGCAATTTTGGTTTTTGCCTCAGCATCATCATTATTGCGCAAGCTAATTAGCCATTGTACAACCTTGGGCTGGAGTTTTGTAACTCTCCATTCTCCACCTGCCTACCATTAGCTTATGTAAACAACTGCGAACAGCATTGTACTCCTATCTGGGTCACACTATACATTGGTATACACAGTATACACACCAGCATTGTCCGCATAGTTTTGGATGCACAGTGGGTACAATATTAACCTGGACCCACTGTATTAAGAGAGTATCTGCTGACTTTATAATTACATAGCTCACTGTATGGACGTTCTTTCCACTGACAGCACTTGTTTCTATGTATTCGAATCCATTGCGACTTGCCAACTGTCAAAAATCAGTTATATACACATAAGACTGATTATTCACTTGACATAATACTATGCAACAATAATTATCCAAGGTCCAAAGCACCCTGAGGGTCAAATGCAACAAGTGCTCAAATGAAAAAAGTAAAAAGAGTGCCGAGGTAGGATTAAACCCGGGACCTGAGGTTGTGCCACTCGTGCCCTTATAACGTATGTTATGGCATGCGTAATGTGGGCCTCATAGAGATTTATAACGACTTGTGTTGAAGTTTGTGCAATTCTTCAGCTGTTTGTGATGTAGCTGTAGTGATGTCACCGACTTTGGAGGCAGTCTGGAGAGGAACTTCTCTCTTGTCCTCCAGGTCCACCTTGTTGCCCACCATCACTGTCACCACACTCTCCATCCCCATCTGAACAGACATCACACGAGTTTTGTTGTTCAATTGTAGAGACCAAAATGATGCAATGAGACAAACTGTGTGGCGTGCTTTCCATGCTGGTATAGGAAATGTATTTTTCGCAAGCAGTTCAATTATTCGCGTGTGTTTCACAGGTAATTAGAATCACATACAACGTGCACACTGCCCATTGTACGCTACAGTCATAATATGTGTATAGAAGAATCAGACGAATAGGTTTGCCAATTGTGCAAACTGTACTGTATTCCGTCTAGAGTAAAACCTGAAAATTGTAATCTAAAGAACAATAGATTTTTGGCGAGCGGGAGCGCGCTGACCTAGTTGTTCGTTGGAGCGGTTCCACCCCTCTAGAGGTTTCTGCGGGTGGATTTTTTTAATATACGACGCTCCGTCCGTCATAGCTATGCGCATGCGCCGATATTACGCGCTTCAACTAGTATTGGGCGGGGCCCAGTAGTTCAGTTCACGTCTAGCAACGACACTGCTTCTGTTTCTGGTAGTTTCACTGTCACTCTCTTCACCTTCCATTAGAGGTTGCTCTGAATAATGTATTGCGTAAAGTATGGAACCTCAGCAACATGCCACACACTGGGATTGTCCATAGCGTTACACAAATACAGTAACATTCTGTATGATCGTTTCTGTTCTATCTTTTTCATTCTACCACTTCTTCCTCCATCCTTGTGAGATCTGTTTTTTTTCTGATTCTTCCAATTATGTTTACACTTTTATATACCTGTTATAATTTTGTTCATGGATACGATCATTATAGCTATATAGACATTTCGTGGATTCAGATCTTTTTGCTGCCCACATCATTAGACAATTGAGGTCAATCTATGGTTTACGCTCACCTTGTGAGGATTATTCTATCGTGTTCCTAAGTTGATGTTTTTTAGTCATGCTTATTCTTTTACTGTGAGCAGGCCAGTGGTCGGTCTAGGAGCCTCGGCTGGCGAAGGGAAATAGTCCAGTTGGCCATTGGTCTGCTTTGGTGCTGAGCTTCTCTTATTCTCTTTCTATTATATTTTTAATTTGCCTTATCTCTGCTTTGCATCTATCCTGGTGTGTTGAATAATAATAATAATGAAAAGCACTAAAGTGCAAACCCTCGGCGAAGTGGCTCGCAGAGAGTCTGACACGGGCTAGCTACAGTAGTAGATAGCACACGAGAGTCGATACACGCCATTCGTGGTGACTTCTTGTGCCTTCAAGATAGACAGAGCAAGCGGACCCGGGCCTGTGCTAAATATAAGCGCATGCGCATTAACCGCCAGCGATAAAACGTTACATTCTACCGCCCAGGGTTGACAGAAAGAACGCCCTTCCTTCATGCCAACTGCCTGGTGGACCACGACACTAACAGACCAATTGAAAGCGTAAGGTAGGTATATACCGTTCTGCTCACCTGCTCACCGTGGCAATGTACAGCACGCATGTAACGGCGACAGGTAACTCTGCCTTGAAAGGAAAGCTGTAAGGAATGCTGTGCGCTGACGACACGTTATACATCGCTGCCAAATCCCAAGCTGGATCTCTCCCGCTCGCCAACAATGTTGAACATTCTTCTAGTATTATCGCTATTTGGCGAGCGGAAGCGAGACAACGGTAGCTATATGCCGATCTAGCCAGCGAGAGGACTCTCCTCCATTCGACGGCATTCGCTGCGAACTTCGGTGAGTGACCGAGGCTGTATGCGATCTTATGCGACCTCTTCCTAATCTTCATGGTTCGAAGGTGGAACTTGGAAAAAAAAGCTAGGATTGCTCGTACAGATACGGCTGCATGCCAGCTGCCTGATGGACAACGACAGACGAGCTGAAACCATACCGTTCTGCTCACCTGCTCACCGTTCAGGCAATATTATACGTAACGACATTGTAGCTATCCCAAAGTCAGGAGACTACAGAGATCCATGTAATTATCGACCAATATCCCTACTCTCAGTCCTGAGTAAAGTTCTTGAGCATCATATTTCTCTCCTAATTTCAGATTACTTAAAATGGAAAAGAATATTATCTCCAAGAGTAGCTATAGTGCAGCTTCTTGGGCTTCCTTCTCACTGAAGTAACGTTGTTAATTACTTCCGCGCAAAACTGCACTGCCGTAGCTACTGAACAGCTGTACGTTAGGCGAAAAACAAATTTTCGCTCTTGCTCGCCATTCTAGTTTTATGTTATTACAATAAGGATATTTCTCCTTTTATATCAGGTCCAATTTTGGCTTATACAGTTCACCATTTACAATACATTAATTGCTATGTTGGTAGCCCTCCCTTCCTTCCTATTTGTTGTTTGTCTTTTTTTTTTACTTTCTCAGTGGGCCAGTGGCCAGTCCAGGAGTCCTTAGCCCTTCTTCTTCACCTTCTTTATTTCTTCCTCATCAGTTCCTCACTCCATTTGCACCTTTTTTTGGTGTGTAATAAAATAAACTAGTGGAAATGTTGAACATCGTTGGCGAGCGGGAGCGACCCAACTTGGGATTTGCCCGCGATGTTCGGGCTGCATAAAGTGTCGTCAGCGCACAGCTTTCCTTTCGTGAAGTAAGATAGATCTAGCTACCTACGAGCAAACCTAACGTATTTGCAAGTTGCACCTTGGAACCATGAAGATTGGGAAGAGGTGCAGCCTCGGTCAGTCACCGAAGGTTGCAGCGTATGCTGTCGAATGGAGGAGAGTTCTCTCGCTGGCTATATAGATCGATCGGCGCATATCGCGAGGCACCATGTGTGAAAATGTGTAAAAATTTGGAAATGATTTTCGGATAAAAAGACAAAGCCGCGCATGCGCACTTACACGACGTACGACGCATGATAAATTAATATGAGAATTCCGCTCGAATGAACGTCGGCAAGTTTTCCAGCGATGGCGACACTTGGACGTTTACTGCTGCTAGTGACAGTGGCTGCAGGGACATGTCCATCATCGGCTACTTCTGGTAAGCTATTCAATTAGCTATTTAGCCATGTCGGTCGTAAGAATTCTCAGTGCTCATTGCGCGCAAAGGTTGCCGGCTTATGAACGAGTGACACACCGGTGTATTTACATAGTGTAAAGTTAAGGAGCCTTGAGAAACTACAAACTCGCTGTAGAGCTTGACTGCGGCTGTAGTCGGCGATGTGCAAAAATAATTCAGTGCTCGTCACCCTCTCCTTTTCTGACTTTGTTTAGCTGTAGAAACTGCTCGGTTCATGTTTAGGCAAGCCGCTCAGCTGACATTGCTTCAGAAAAGCCCTAGATCGTCCTGTGGCGAAGAATAATTATATACTCAAACTTCCTAGGGGTGTCTGATATTATGCAACAGCATCACAGAAAGATACTCTCAACTTTTGTCAGTGTATCGTCTTTAAAAATAATGAGTTACTTTTGTTGTATAATGGGTGGATTGCTGGGCCGGAGCCAACATAGTCAGCATTGCTATTATAAGTAGATGTGTGTTGCAAGTATACTCCGATCTTACAGCCTTGTGCCGGATATTACTAGCAGGAACTCTTCGATTATTCATGCACGGCTGACCAGGTGCGTTCCTAGCTCCTCCACTGCATCATCCATATTAATGTACATTCACTGATCTTGATGCATCACCAATCGTGGAATTTATGGCATGTGAGGTGCAGTATATTCTTGAATGCAGCTAGGCCCACGGTGCTTGGTGTACATTCTGCCAGACTTCTCAGGGGCTAGACACAACTCTTAGGGAGTGAAATATGGGGTGGGTGGTCTAAGGCTGGGGAAAGGATTCCATGACCGCCCTAACAATCTATGTATGCACCATCCATGGACCATCATGATGATTCCTGCTAAACGTTGCAAAAAATATGTTTTGTCATTGTGAGCACATACTGTTGCATTAACCCGTTCCCTCTCTCTGACACCATCAGGTGTGTTTCCGCACAGTGAGACACTAAGCAGAAGCCTGGGAAACAATTCTTTCGTCTCTGCAAGCGATATTGGAGATTTAAACCCTGCCATAATCTGTGCCAGACAGAGTGAGACTAGACCTGATGGAGCAGAGTGGCTGGACACTGCAGGTCAAGACATCGCAGAAGGTTTCTCCACCGCTGCAGGGAATCGTTTGTTCTACACTCAAATACATCTCAATGGTATCCATCTGTTTCGAGGTGGTGTTGAGTTTTCGACGGAACACGAAGGAGTGTATGCATGTCATATTGATGATGATGGCGGCAACAGACAAGTCCTTTTCATTGGGATATACACATCAGAGACCTTCCAAAACTCAGGTTTCGCAGCTGAGCCTCTGTATACTATTATTATATAACATATGTGCAACTAGTCAAGATAAACACTATATAATTATACTGATATATATACCGTCAATGTGCATAACTAATCACTGTGTATAATATATACAGGACCTCCTGTGGTAGGGTCACCCGTCTTTTCCCTGCTCGCTCTCCGCACCACCTATTCCTCTGAGTTTATCCTCACCTGTCCCTCTTCCTCCCTTCCTCCCCTCTCTGCCACGTGGCTGCGAAACGGTGAGCCAGTGAGTACCGGTGGAGACAATTTCCATACCTGGCATGTTCTGGTGGACCCCTCGACAACTGGCTATGCCAACAGTCTGAGAGTGAGTGGGAACCTGGCTGGAGAGTACCAGTGTTTTGTGGGGAATAGTGAGGGGGACGCAAATGCTTCTGTATTGGTGCGAGGTGAGCCAGCTATATAGCTACATACTGTCGCACTCTCACTCTGGATGTTTAAGTAAGCCACTGAATGTGTTCTCCATGAGTGTGTGCTTCAGTCGGTAGTATTCCCATGACCCTAAGAGTGTGAAAAACTATATGTTGGGTGTGGGCCTCTCAAAAGAAATGGAGGTGCTTTGTTGGCTGGCCCACCCATCACTGGTTGATAGCTCTCATACCAAGAACGATTGAGAAAACATTGATTTTGTGCCCACTTCAATGACATTTGATGCCCCTTTCCAGGGCCCTCACTGGTAGCTACTAGTGTAACAGGAAAAAACCGGTATAATTATACAGTGGTCTATTGTACAAGAAAAGCGGATATATGCAGTATCACTAAGTACGGTAGTACTTAGTATAATTATAGGGATGACACAGGTCATCCTGCATTATGCCCATACATTTGAGGTTTTCATGTTTCACTTTCAGTTTCAATCAGATCCAACTTTTGACACATCAGACTAATCCATATCGTCACAAAGAGCATGTATCCAAGAAATGGCTTGAATTGCATAATCGGTACTTGGAAAGTTATTTTTCAAAATTCTTGTTGTTGTTGACGTTTCAACAAGCGTATCTCAAAAGCCACTATAGATATGGAGATGAAACTTTGCACAGATGTTGAAATCCATGACAGGTCGTGCAAGAGCATTTTTTCGTAAACAATTTTATTGAGATGAGAGTTCATCGAAACAGAAATTACAAGTTAGTAAACAACAACAAACAGCCTCAGGCAATGAATACTTGTAAATGAGTCGTCCTTCGCTCCAACGGTCGAGGCGATCGTTCTGTTTGTTCCTATAACTTGCTTATTGTGGGTCCACTAACAATGAAACTTGGTACACTGATGTACCATGATAAAGAGTTCACCGAAACAGAAAACACAAGGTTGTAAACAACAACAAACAGCCTCAGGTAAAAAAGACTTTGAACTCATGCCGAAAAATATCCCCTTTTTATATGCACACCATGATTGTGAATGCAGTAACAAAAGGAAAGGAGACAAGTAAATAAACAATACTTCTTCGAATTAAAAAAGTGCGGAATATAGGGATGACATATATAAAAAGTAAGGATACAAAACAGGGATGACCTAGTGAACATGATGTAGTAGTACAATGGATGATAGCTATATACATACTTTGAACTGACATCGCCTGCTCGTGTAAAATTTCCTCCACACAAGCCCTATATTGTCGCAAAGTACGAGTGTGCTCCCTTGTATGATGCACAGCTACAATTTATTTCATAAGCTCATTAGACAGGTAATACCATCTACTCGGTTTTCAGTTGTGACTGCATTGTGTGAAGTCTAAGACTTCCACATTTGCTCAACTATACAATGCTGCGTTCTTGGCCATCTACATACACAATCCTTTCACCATTGTCCTCGCACTTCCCTAAACAAACAGTAAAGGTGGCGACAATATAGGGCTTGTGTGGAGGAAATTTTACTGGAGCAAGCGATGTCAATTCAAAGTATGTAGCCATCATCCATTGCACTACTGCATCACGTTCACTAGGTTTTCCCTGTTTTCTTTTTAAGGCATCCCTATATTCCACACTTTTTTATTAGAAGAATATTTTAATTGTACTGGTACAGTGGATGGACTAGTGTAACAGGACTGTAACTGGGGGAAACTTGTATATATAATAATGTTTCTGTATGTTGACAGATGGCACTGTAACTGTGTCTGAAACGTATGTCGATGTCCCCAATGGGAAAATTTGAAGGTTTTGTTTACGGAGCGGCAAAAATGTCATGATTTACTGTTTGTTCATCCTACACACAGTGTTATCCTCCTTGCCTTTCGCAGTTCCATCATTTGCCTTTCTCTCCTCTATAATACCCACAGTTCCGTCAGGACCTCCCCTTAATGTCCATGCTGAGCCAGGAGGAGGAGGCAATGTTGTAGTCAGCTGGACCCAGCCCGCTGGCAAAATCAGTGGTTACATCATTGTCTACGGCTCAAAAGCAGTGAATGTGGACAACCCTGCAGTAACTGCCTACACATTGGAGGACATCACTCTAGAGACACAGTACACTGTAGAGATGTGGGCCTATCTAGAGCTTCCTTCGTCCCGCAGTCAACCAACCACCATATATCTGGACAGTGAGAACTTATACAAAGTATTATACTTACACACACTAGTACTGGGCCTGTTTTGTGGTGGAAAACGGTGGAAATTTTGTAACGCACAAATTATGCAACAACTGTTGTGTGTGCACTTCGTGATTCAGTTTTCTTTCTGTCTTTCTTTCTCTCTCACATGTGACATGTAATGTTTGAGTTCACTGCACAGACGCACACCTTACATTGTCAGGTTGTGTATTCCTGTATTGCCGATAAATAAGTGAGCATGCCTTTAACAGTCTATATAAGGACATTTTACAGTCTATATTGTGTACCTACAACAAACTGAATGATTACGTAATAATCTGTTGCAGTAAATGTGACTCTTTTCCATCAGATAATCTCTTATTCTCCCACAACAAATATATTATTATACAGGATGGGCAGCATGTAGCCACATATGGCGCAAGGGAGACAGGTCCATACTGCTCAGCTGGAGTCCTCCACTCTCTCACAATATCGATGTTGAGCCAGACATCTCCCACTATCTAGTGACCATTATCAACACGGAGGACCATCACTCTGTGCTCACTGTCAACACAACAGACACTGAGTACCTCCTCCAGTCACAAGACTGCCAACTATCTGTCTACCAAGTGGAGATAGCAGCAGTCAATGTTGTTGGTGTGGGAGACAACTACACCAGTCCTCAACTGACTCTGGATGGTATGGTGATCATATTGTATGAACTACTAATGAACTTATTATTGTTGCACAGTACTTGATTTTTCAGACAAATTTTCTTTAATTCTTGGTGAAAATCCAGTTATCAGCTTTCAGGTATAAACAATACAAAAAGATAATATTATATGTTACTTTGAGTGCTTACAGGTCTGTGCAAGCTACCAAGTCACTTTGGAATATAAATTTAAACCAACATTATCAAACAGAGAAATTCACTTGATGACTAATGTTGCTGGTGATGGACAAACAACCCTAAGCATTTCCTTACCTAATGTCAAATTTAATGAACATTATAAAGTAACTGTGGGAGTCAATGGAACTAATGTTTTCATGTACAGCCAAAGTTTTAGTAAGTGTTCTGAGTATAAAAGTGCGATATGGGTATGTCGTGTAAGCATGTTTGCAATTGTGTTGTTATGCACACTGTTGTAGCAGGTGGGTAGTGACACCTACTAGGGATCAAACCTTTACCATTAGTGAATTCCCAGGTTACTGTTTGTTGATATATTTTATGTATACTGCAGGTACATTTGATGTCCAGAAAGTGGTGATAGATGAGAAGAGCAGCGGACATGATATAACATGTTACTTAGCTCGTGGGTCACAAATCAAGGGTTGTAGAATAGTTATAATCTCAGAGGGAAGAGGTGGAGACTGTGAATTTAACACAACTGCCACAAAACTCGAGGGAGCTAGAGATGCTGCAGTGAATGTGGAACTACCAGCAGGAGAGTATTCTATAGTAGTCTATGATGATGAACAAGTGACTGAAGAGAATCCAGCTTATACCAGCAACCTGTCTATCCCTGGTGCTACTACACCTGTTGTAGGTATGGCCTGTTATAGAGTGTTGTGTTATAAACTGTGTCTTGATGTTTGCTGATGCAGGGTGTGTGTTTGACGTACTAGTGGTGGAATCAACAAGTGACAGTGAAGAGAACAATCGTGAGTTAAGTAACTTTGTGTCATTTTTTTTGTTGTTACTTCAGGACTTGTAGTTTTACTGGTGATTGGGGCAGTCAGTACAGTGGCTCTCATTGCAGTTTTAACCCTGATCGCAGTAACTTCACTTGTGGTTTTGTCAAGAAAATGTAAAGATAGCTATAGCCACATTCACTCTGTTTGCACATTAACTAAAATGCATGTGTTCTGTAGGTAGGAAAACAGCTGAAAGTGTATCACCAAGGTGAGTGATGGGCAATTGTTTTGAAGCTGGGGGTATACTTTCATGTTGTGAGAGTTTATATAGAACTTATTTTCCTCCCAAACTTTAAATGACAAACTTTGACATTTCTCTCACTATTGTTCTGTCCTTAGAGGTGTAAGGAATAAACAGCAGCAAACACCACAATTCACTGTGGACAATAACCCAGTTTATGCGGTTCCCAAACTGCCCCAGTCTGTGTCTCTCACAGAACAAAAACAACAGCAGCAGCAGCAGCAGGAGTCAGAGTTTGATATGGACCACAACCCTCTGTACATGCTCCATACTGCACCTCAGCACAAGAACAATCCCAGTGCAGACCATGAATATGAAACTCTTTCCAGCCATTAGCTACCTGTGACATCAGTCTGTGATGTGTAATCATAGTGCATACTCGTGTACGTAGCTATAAAAGAAGGGCGTCCAAAGCCCAAGGAGAGTTGCTTGCTATATATATTGCGAGAGAATTGTACTGACCGTAGCTTATGCATGAACAACCAACAGGTGTGCAGGGAAATACAAGACTGCAGGGACGTCAGTTAACATGTATTATGCAATGTGTGGGACACCCAAAACGCATACAAGGTTATAGGAGGTGTTTTTCAGAATATACTACATTGTATCAGTTTTCCCCTTTTCCTCTCTTGAGGACGAGGTCCGGGCACGTGACTAAGGCCATGCCAAGAGTGGAAAAGTGACACAATTTGGAAGTGAACAGAGGGAACAGTGGACTTGTGATCATTGGATATGCTCACGAATACGTAGCGTGCATGGACTAACAACCCTTAACACTTCCTTACCGAATGTCAAATTAAATGAACGTTAAGAAGTAACTGTGGGAGTCAATGAAACTAATGTTTTCATGTACAGCCAAAGTTTTAGTAAGTGTTCTGAATATAAAAGTGCGACATAAGTATGTTGTGTAAGCATGTTTGTAGTTATGTTGTTATGCACACTGTAGCTATAGGCATGTAGCAGGCGGGTGTTGACACATAGCAGGGCTCATAAACCACCAAACCGTTGTCATTTCTGAATTCCCACTTGGGAGTTCTTGTTTGTCGATATAATGATTTTGGTATACTGCAGGTAAATTTGATGTCCAGAAAGTGGTGATAGAGTATTTATCATCTCAGTTTAGAACTCATTTTCCTCCCAAACTTTAAATAACAAACTTTCAATTGACATTCCCCTCACTATTGTTCTGTCCTTAGAGGTGTAAGGAATAAACAGCAGCAAACACCACAATTCACTCTGGACCATAACCCTGTGTATGCAGTTCCCAAACTGCCCCAGTCTGTGTCTCTCACAGAACGAAAACAACAATGAAAGGCACTGAAGTGCAAACCCTCGGCGCAGTGATAATAGTGAACACACACGCACCAAAGTAATGGGTGGGGCAATGGTATCACCAGGTCTGGTAGAGGTGCTGTATTTAGGTTCATAGATAAGATTATTCTTTCCTAACCTAGTGAGCTACGCCTTAGTTGGAGGCATACTTACTGAATTCAACCGTCTTCTCAGTCTAGTCTCACAGCGGAAATGAGGGAAAACAAAATGGCTGCTGGCCACGTGGTCTCAATCAGCGTGCGTCGCTTTGGCCGCCTCGGAGTCACGTGCGTTTTGGTGTATACACACATGCGTGTTGTTAAAATGGCCGCCCTTGCCATACCGTACGAACAGGAAAACGCTCTAGCTCTGCAACGAAGCAGTTTAGAGAAAATTCCATATATAATACACATGCGCACCAAGTTTCACCTCAATGCATGCTACAATTATCAAGTTTGAGGAGTGAAGAAGTAATTATAAAGGTAATCTCTGAGGTTTCTTCAAACAGTACGCGGTCGTCATGGAAACATGCAGTTGTCATGGAAATGATATAATAGGCATACGTTCCAAGTTTCATCTCTATACGTGCTACCATTGGAAAGTTTGAGAAGTGAAGAAGTAAATTTAAAGAAAAGTGCCTGAGGCTATTTGTTGTTGTTCATAAATATGTATTGTGTTTTTGATGTTGGGTATTGAATACATTATGTATACAAAGTTTCATTCACATAGCTCTTACAATTAATGTGAATTACACTAACACATGTATGTCCATTATAAAGTATTGCCTGGGGCACATTTGTTTACAGTAAACAACATTGTTTACAAACAAAAAAGTATGACGTTGCACATGTGGTTATCGATACACACATTCCTACAAAATTTCATTACTTTATCTCTTTCGGTTTTTGAGTTACGCTGGTCGAAGAAGAAGAAGAAGATGATGAACAAAACTCCCTATCATAGCCCCATACATCTATGATGCTAGGTACCATGTCAATCCCTATATACTAAGTACTACCGTACTTAGTGATAAACAACACAGTCTAACAGTCTACACACAGTAGGAGAGTACGCTACTTATATAGCTAAAAATTGGAAACGGAAATGAAGTATAAGTGACGTCACGACAGTATTTAATGACCAGTCAATGCATATCTATGACATTCCTCCCCCCTTAGGTGAATGCTTACAGAAAATCAAAAGATGTGAAAATAAAGAACCAAAACACAATAGAGAAAACATAAGACAAAGTATAAACATGCAACTACGAAACAAGAACATTACACAATAGGAAAACAATACACAAAGACATCATGCATGCCATAACACACAAACAAATTCATACACAATATCAAGTTTTTCCAGGTTCAAACCTTTCACGAGGTTTTAGTTGTCGACGGGGATAACGATGGGTGTTCGAATCGGATGAATTGTTCTTGTTTCGTGTATTTTCTGTAAGCATCGTTCGAACGTTCGGTTGATCAGAGTTCATTAACTCAGGTTCCGGTCCTGTTTCAGGAGTGGTTGGTGTCACTGGAATTTCTGACATGTCCGGAGGTCCATCGTCAGTGACCCTTGGACGTAACTAGTCTTGGTGACAGCGTTTTGCATCCAGTAAGACGTGAAATGACACCGGACCCGATGTTTCTATGATCTTTCCTGGAAGCCAACATGGACCAGTAACATTCTTCAAAAGAACTGCGTCACCGATACGAAGAGTTCGAGATTTACCACGTGAATCATGTTGTGCTTTTTGTTGCTGTTGTTTGCGTTCCACCCTCTCCGCCGTATTGGGTTTCACGCAGATCGAGGCGTGTGTACGCGGTCTCCTCCCCAACAGAAGCTCAGCTGGAGCTAGTCCAGTTGTACTCTGTGGAGTAACCCGGTAAGTAAGGAGAACCTTTGCTAGTCTAGCACTCATGGTACCGTCTTTGACCTTTTTCAGACCTCTCTTGACCGTTTGCACGGCCCTCTCTGCCAGACCATTTGAAGCAGGATGGTAAGGGGCTGAAGTTGTGTGTTTGATACCGTTTGACCAGAGGAATTGCTCAAACTCTGAGCTGACAAAACAAGTCCCATTATCTGTGACCACCATCTCCGGCAGCCCAAACCTGGCGAAGAGTGATCTGAGCTCTTCAATGACACACAAAGAAGACGTGGTCGGAGTGCAAACAGCTTCAATCCATTTAGAATGTGCATCCACCGCAATAAGGATGTTTTTGCCTTGAAACGGACCCGCAAAATCAAGATGGAGCCTCGCCCAAGGTCTAGTAGGCCATTTCCACGGGTGAAGTGGAGCAAGTGGGGGTGAAGATTGTACTTGTTGACAATCATGGCAGAGGCGCACCGATTTTTCAACATCTGCACTAATCCCGGGCCACCAGACGTACATTCTGGCGAGGGACTTCATACGTGTTATTCCCGGGTGTCCTTCATGCAGCTCTTGCAGAACTGCTTCTCTGCCTGGTGGAGGAATCACTACACGTGTTCCCCACATGATACAACCTTCATAGCTGGAAAGCTCCAAGCGACGTGACGAATAAGGTTCCAGCTCAGGATCCCCATCACTTGGCCAGCCCTGCTGAATGTACTGCAGAATTCTTGCCAACTTCTTGTCTCGTTGCGTCCAGACTTTGATGTCGTTGGCACTAACAGGAGATTCATTTAGATGCTCAGCTAACAGCACTAGCTCAGGCTCTTCGAATACCTTTGCTGGCTGTTCCGGCAGTGGCAAGCGACTCAAGGCGTCAGCGTTT